GTTCGAAATCATAGTCATTGTGGCATACACAATATGTAATTGGAACTGTTTTGACACAAGCAATTCCCCCCCCCCCCTCTCTCTCTCTCTCTCTCTCTACGGTTTAGATTGCGTCAGAATAGACTGTTTCCGTCGAGCTAATAACCACTAATAATCGGGAATTTGACCTCTTCCGAGCATTGATGCTTATAGTGGCTTAAGTGTAATTACCATATTACACAGAAGAAAATATTAGGACGTATCGAGCAAGTATATGTACACGGAAAGAATAATTTTGTTGAAAATCCACGTAAAAGTTTAACTAGATATATTATAGATCTGAAAATAATTTTGCTGAATTTATTAAAATATATAATTACATAGAGCGCTCAAGCATATAATGAGCATTCCTGCAAAAGGTTTTAATATTTTAGCACAACACCATTGCAGCTTAAGTGTCCTACATAATTACTTTTAGAATTAGCGAGTAATTCGCATTACTTGTACTTCGTTCCTTCCTTTCCATCCATATCTTAGTTACGTTTTTTGGTAATTAGAAACTAATTTAATAATTACTTTTAACGTATTTTGAACTTATTTGTCATGATGACGAATTCGTAAATGAATAAGTAAAAAATAAGTACACAAATGAAAACTACGTTTTAACCTTTTTTTCGTGATTTTTATTCAAAACGAAGTAAAAACGAGCATATCTCTAAAGAATACAAAGTGTTTTGCGCGTCACCATATTTTTGAGATACTTCCGCTGGATTAATAATTGATTTCTAATAAAGACATTGGACATTAAAAAAATTATTAACTAGTTCATTTTTTAATAAAAAATCGAAATTAAATTATGTTTTTCTTTTTAACAAAACAATGTATTTTTCTTTCGACATTCTTTTAGAACATAAAAAAAAACGAATTTATCGATCTAGCATTATGTATCGTTTTAATTATTCGATCTCAAGGTAATTTAATTAACATTTGTAACATAATCCACGAATCCGTCATTAATATCTAAAAGCGAAAAACATAAACATAATCGCATTGAAGTATACATACAGAAACATACATAATAGAAATAGTAGTCATTGAAATACTTAAAGAGAAATCGAAACATACATAAGGGACAAGTACGTTTATTCGATGTTGTTTTCACATCAAGTACATGTATTTATAAAACTAAATATTTAAACTGTATACCACCTTTCGCAACATAAAGTTTAATTCATTCTTTTCAATAATAAATTGTCCCATTAAAAATAATTTGACTTTAATTTGTTATATTAAAAAATGAACAAATTTGAAATTTCTCTTATGCAATTAATATTCTTTATTAGAAATTAATAAACTTTTTGTTAGAAATAATTTGTTAACAATCCATCGAAAGTACTTCAAGAACCGTGATGACCGATGTGAGAAACATTCTTGTCCATAATGTATACAAATGCCCTATATATTGCGAGCGAGCGAGAAAAAGAGAGAGAGAGAGAGATGAAGTTATAGCCGCCCATAATTTAATTACATTCTGTACGATTACGTCACATGACGTACTCACTTACGAGCCGATGACGTGACGCGCCCCGCGATGTTTACATTTCGACAGAGCAGGTTCAACTTACGGAACGAGAAGCCGCGAGTCATTCCCGCCGCCGCGCCTGCCAGTTGCCACAGTGGGCAGATCCGCATGGGCAGATCCACTTCTATCCACCTTGCCTGGCTCTCGCAACCGTCGACAACGGTGGGGATACGTATAGTCGGCATCGTCCATTCGGACGCGCGCAGACTATGTGCCGATTAAAGGTCCGATTTTTCATCATCTGATTAACTTGTGGTCAGTCTTAACCTGATATCTTATCCAATCACCATCTACAATCATCCAATGATGATGGATGATGACGCCCATTGGGTGAAACGTCAGATTAAGTTTAATCACAAATTAATTAGATAATGAAAAACCGGGCTAAAAAAATCGGCAAATTTTGAACTTGTCAGAACGAGAGATGTCTATTATAAGTAAATAGAGTGTTTGTGTTTGACACAAACTCGCAACTCTTACGAGCGCGTCAAATTGTTCTTGTTTAACACTTGCATAAACAAGGACGAAAAAAGCACTGTGACAAATAAAATTTGGTAAACAACACGAATGAGATGATTTGAAGAGCGCTGTGAACGCCAAACGGGACGCAGCCTTGTGGCGACTTACGTTAAAATTAAGCAATTATCTCATTGCAGTGAATCAATTGTGAACGTTTCTGCAAAGCATTTTATCACAAAAACTTTACGACCTACATGTTAGATATACACGTCGCATTTACGTATTATTACTATTTTTTCCCAAGCACTCGCTCTCGAGTATTCGGTAATTTATCGCACGCAGTTCGTACAGAAGGAAGTGTCAACCGTAATGCCTCTCCGTTGCAATTTAACGACAATCAATAAGACTAATCTCGAGCATTACTTGTCGAGGTTCAGTCAGCTTAGAAATACATTGAATATGCTATGGATATACATTCGCCTAGATCTAGCAATTTTTTAATTCTCCCTCAGAGAAAATCCCAGAATACATAGAATTGTTTGCATCATCTTTGTAATATTGTCAATAATTTGTTAACATTTCGGCATTAATCATTGTTATGGCTCTTATTGGCATATAATTTTGGTCGGTTTGCGATCGAGTTTTAGAGCCAAAAAAAAAAATATATTTTTAAATTTAAATCAAAAATAGAACTCTCGAGAATGTCAATAACAATAAACAAACAGGCTAATGAGAGTCAAAAACTGCGGTAGTTAGTGCGAGTTTAAAATTCTTTATTACAATATAATTATAAATTTAATCAAACGTTTCAGCTACTATTTGAGCCATTTTCAATGATATAAATAAAACATGGAATTTGAAGGGGTATTATTTATATCATTGAAAATGGCTCAAATAGTAGCCGAAACGTTTGATTAAATTTATAATTATATTGTAATAAAGGATTTTAAACTCGCACTAACTACCGCAGTTTTTGACTCTCATTAGCCTGTTTGTTTATTGTTATTAAAAAAAAATATATATATAGCATTGAAAGTTTAAAACATAGAAATCATAATGATATCATTAAAACGTCATCGTGGCCTTATTTGTCACGTAGATATAAGTACACGTATAAATTGTCAAATAAAATCACGATGACGTTCTATGTGGTATCATCATGACTCCGTGTGTGCTCCACCTGAGGTACCGAACGCATTGCGCATCTTATTAAATGAATATTTATCATAAAGATCGACACGAAGTGACAAATCGGGTCTCACCGTACCGTTGTTGTTTTTCCCTTCGTATCGCTGCTGCACGTTCGCCAAAATCGATTCGCTCATCACGTAGAGCGAGACAATTATTTCACCACAACGCAAGCCGTATCTGTTCAATCGGTTCTCGCGCCGCGCCACGCCGCGCCGTAGTGTGCTGCGCAATACTCGATACTTTATTTCTTTCACGAGAAAAAAAAACAAACTCTCGAGTCTCGGATAAAGTTTATGACGATGGGCAACGCGCGCGCGAACCGCAATAATAGTGACCCGCGTCTTGGAGCATCGCCGTCCCTCGACGTCGCGACGTCGCCTGCACCTCGAGGTCGAGACTTACTCGCACTCGTAACCGCTGTTCACACATCAGGTAGTAAAACTAGCAACAAGTGGTGCGAGGCATATTAATTGCGTACGAACGAGCAGCACTCGCTCGAGGAGTCGTGATTGCGCGGAAGTATCAATTCCGAAGGGGAGACTCCATGGAGTAGTGCGCTTATTCGTGTCGCGCCGATTCGCGCGACCTTCACGGCAACGAGCTGTGAGATTCCGTTTCTCGGGATCGAGGAATCACCTCGCGGGATCGAGCGAATTATTTCGAAAGGAAGCGAGAACGTTTGGACGCTTCCAACGCGATTGAAAAAATTATACGAGTCTCATCTCGATAAGAAAAGTGATTTTCAAAACGTTGGAATTATTCGATAGTGTTTTCGTCCACTTTCTCATTGAATTCGTGAATTTTAATATGCTCGAGATATTCCATAAGGCGTGTTGGTTTTGTTAAAAAAAAAAAAAAAAAAAAAAACACACAGCCAGACAAATAAATCAATATGTGTGTAACTTTAATTGATATTTCTGTAAAAACTATCCAGCAGGAGAATGAGAAAGTATCCGCAGTATTAATAAAAGCAATGCTCCTTCACATTTTTTTGTATCATAAAGTCCGTGTATTTGTCAGGTGAACTTCCAAATAGCAAATATGACCTTATTTGTGTCACAGGACGATGTCTTAATTTACAATATATCATTATGATTTCTGTGTTCCACCTGAGCTCGGGGAGTCAGATCCCATTGATCGACTACCGCGCTTTTCGCGGAGATTCCCTCCCGTGACTTCGGTTTTACGAGTGCGCGATTAGTTTCGTAACTCGTCAATTTTCTCTCCACTTTCTATTTCATGGAAGCCATCCGGGGAGCTTTCCGAGATCGCGAGGGAAGAGAGCGAGAGAGAAGGAAAGACGGAACAGGAATGCGCGAGCGACTGCATCTCGCGAACACGCGTCTCCAGAATCTCTCCGGATGAGAACCGCGCAACGCGACACCAACGATCGTAAATCAACTCGTCGTCGACGAGTCCATACTTAATCCAAGGGACGTCACACGGGAACACCCTGATGGAAATGTCCTTAGGATATGCAAGAGACGTCCTCTCCGCGGGATGTCTAATTAGAACATACGTACTTTCAAAGTTTTCACGCTCTGTGTTACACGAGTATACGCGAACGGATGGTGAAAATTTGGAGTTTAGGTTCACCGCGAGAAGGGAAGGAAGGAAGGGAGGGAGGGATGGGAGGAAAAAGAGAAGCGGCGCGGTGCGTCCTCCACCGTGGGAAAACCTTCTCCTTCCCTTCAGCCTCCGACCCTTTTTTGGATGCTCCCTCGCGTCGCCATCCCGTCTCCGTCTTTCTCCTCTCACCTAAATATAAGGATCTATCTTCGAGACTTACGTTCGTATAATGATGCTGCGGGCTCTCCGCTCCGACAGCTGGTCGAGGGCAAGGTCGCACCCGATCGCGCTTCTTCTCCCTCCCCTCTCTTTCTCTCTCTCTCTCTCTGCTGGAGCACACAGTGAAACACCGAGGGCGAGACAGAAGCACCGAACGACGACGGCTCGTCAGGGATCCACGGCCGCGTCTTCGCTGCACGTCATTCGTAACAGCGTCGCACTGGGAGACACAGTTTCGCCCAGTTTCGCCGGAACAATCGCGAGAAAAGAAGCTGCTGCTCGCTCAGCGCCGTTTGCCGCGCATCTACTGTAACCGCTGCGTGTGAGACTGAGAGTAGGCGAGAGAGCGGCCAGTTCGGACGGAACGCGGCGCGCCAATGTTCCACCGCGGACCAATCGCGGACCACCTGCGCTCTGCAGTCTGCGCGGCAGGACCGCGTCATTTGTCGCGCATTCGGCAGATTTGCCTGTGTTTCGCGATAATTCACCGCCGGCGGACAAATCGTTATCGTTCGCGGTAAATACATGCGTTTACGCGCGGCAAGAACGAGTGTTGGCCGCTTCTGGCTTTTTACGTTTCTTCTCGGGAATGCGAGCGCTGAAAAGGGAGCAAGTGCAACCTGTCCTGCGCGTGCGCAGTTCACTCAGATGCAGGCTCCGAATCACGCGTAGCGCGAAAATTTGAAATATTTTCAGTTGTCGAATCGGCCACATATGAGAGGACTACGGCACGCGAGAAAATTTAAGCGATAAAACGTAAGCAGTAAGGAAATCAACGTGTTTGATTATGGCTATTGCTTACATCATGTATGGCCTTATCCCGAATTTACAATAGAATTTTAAGCCTTAAGCCATAAGAAATGGACGAATCATAAATCTATTATTCTCCTCGAATTCGACTGTAATTAGTTAATTTCTTACGATTTAAGACTTGAAACACGTATTGTAGATCCGAGGTTACGGTCTTTACTGTAATTGGCCGATGCGCCTATTATTTACGTTTTACTACTTCAGTTTTTCATTTATAATGCTTTGATATTATATCAAGTAATGTCTACGATGAGATTTTTAAGTTCAAAACTTAAGCTCTCATTGTAGACAAAGATGTATGTCAGTAGTTAGCTCTCTAGTCAAAAGATCTATATAGTCAAAAGAACATCTATACATTCAATAAATTTCAAAATAATCAAATAGTTGTTATTAAATTACAGGATGATTTCTAAACATTATGTACTATCATATTTAGTTTGCTACACACACTTTCCGTAACAGTAACCATATTATAAGATTTACCGTAAGAATCAATCAATTAAAATTAAGAGTTCTCGAAAAAAATTTTCAATTGTGATTGACTGATTATTCTTACGTTACGTTTTATGGTTACTATTAAGCCCATGGCACATAGAAAAACGTAAGGCCGTAAGACGTAATCAGTAAGGAAATCGTAACATTAGATTCGCTACCGGCCTTACGGTCTCTACTGTGATTGGCCAATTCGCTTACTGATTACGTTTTATGGCTTTACGTTTTTGTATGTGCCATGGGCTTTATGGAAAGTGTCCTTAAACGTTAATTAATGACATAAATCGTACGTCAATACAGGTTGATTAAACCCACTCAATTTTTATTAAAAATAGTATTCATTCGTAACTTGTTCACAATTAGACGTGTTCAGCGGACTCAACAGTTGAGTGAGCGGTTGTTATTATTTAAGATGGTGTACAGTGAGTGCGTTCCATTTTGGATGGATGCTTACAACGTTTTTCAGCATTATTTATCCTTGTTTAATATTTGATAGAGAACAAGGATTAATTGATTCTCACAACGTGTAAGCGCGAAAACGGAATGCATCCATTATGTGTAGTGCATCAAATTTTTTAACCATACCGAATATTAAATAATTATTATATCTGATAGTCCGCAGTCTGCCAAGTGGGACGGAAAAATATGTTGCATTTGTTATTTAATGATTTTTGTGTATTTATCTCTAAGAATAATATTTAACAATATTTAAATATTAAATCTTATAGGACCGTATATACACATGTGAGAAACACAACATAATAGTATTTAAGTAATAATAATTGTACTATTACTTAAAAAAATACTATATTTATAAATATTCTATACATAAGAATGGAAATTAGAATTAGTTAAATACGTATATGCGCGCGTTGCACTTTAAACTCCTCACCACGTGACTGATTTACTCCCACCATATTATAATCATAGCACAGAGCAGCACGCGGCACGGCACGCCACATAACAGAAGTATCTGAAACTGAGCGTCTGAACGGTTATCGTACCGATTGCACCCAATCATTTGATGAGATTTTACATCAATCACGTCAGGCAGCAATTTATGTTTGTGCTTCCACGTGCCGGCGAACACGCCAGAGAAGATTTATTTTTGACGACATGTCCGTCGTACGATACGCTTGTTTATTTCCCTCGTCGAAGGTACTCACCAAGGTAGCGATGATGTAACTCTTCTTTAAAGTTTACAGCGAAAACATGAAAAGTAAAAACTTTTATTTATGTACGTATGTACGTCTTTATACATAAAAAATTTGTTGCTTTCCAAATTTTTACCCCAGGAAGAAAGTTACACGATTGCTATTCTTTTGTCAATCTGACTGCCGATTTAATCTCCAAATGCCTCCCAATGTGTCTATTTTTGTTTATTCGATGTAGATTAATTTTAATCTCGATTTAACTTATTCATTATCTTTTTCTAATTCTTAAATCTTAAAAGGAGAAGAAGAAATGTATTAAACTGACAGTTTCTGTTAATAGTGTTTATAACTATTATAAAAGTATTGACTCGATGACATATACCTACATGTCTATTCTTCTAAGTTTTACTTATTCAGGATGGTTTAAATTGAAACGTTCAATGCAATTTTAATGGATTGTAATGTTATTATTAAAACGTCGAGTTAATACTGAACTGTCATCATTGCAATGTATATTCGTTAATTTTTAAATATAAGACTGAGATTAAACCTGATGGTAGAAATAAACATGAACTAGTATCATTCTCTTGGAGCTACATATACGCGTGATTACATTAACAAGCACTTGTTTTAGAGCATGTTATTACTGAATCCAAAGATATCACAGATTAATAAGGATCTGGGTACCATCAGACATTTGTTATCGACAATTTCTAAGACACAGCCACCAATGCCTAGAGATGTCCACACAGTATATGAGCACCGTACATCCACAGTGGAACCTTTACGTCCAAAAATAGGATTTATAGAGAGAATGCTCAAAAAAGCTCGTATTCTAGACATCCAGAAATATGTAATTAAAAGTTTTTCATTGTCATTCAACTTTAAGTGATGAAACAAAAGCATCTGTAAAGCTTATATACTTTTACAATCTGTAAAAGCACTCTGTGCTTTTATATCCATTATTATTGGTAATGTTAATTGAATATTATTATAGAGATATATGGAAATGGGTTATACTGTATACGAAGATGTAATTTGTCAAGTGGATTATCCTTTTTTCTTTAAACGTAAGTTTTCTATTATAACTATTGTAATTCTAACTCTTATGTAAATTATAAATTAAATGTGTTCTTTGTAGATTTTAACATGCCAGATACGTTCTTCAGTTGGTTTCTGGTGACAGAGCTTCATGTATGGATGATGATGGTTCGCTATATGGCAGGCGAAAAATATGGAAAAATTGTCAGGAATAGTATGGTAGCAGCAATGTGGCAGGACACACAGGCCAGGATAGCAAATCTCGGTGTAGGTAACATTGAAATTGTACTTTTAATATATTGTCATGTATACATATACAGAATACTCAAAAATTTGCGAGCCAACATTCCACAGTATAAGAAAATTTTCAAAAAATTATTTGTAAACTTTTATTTTAAATCAAGGTTTTATAGAATTTAAATACAAAGGATAAAGAGTTTAAATATGGCTAATTACAGTGTTGAACTACGTTTAAACACTGAGGTATGCGCTTACTGATACTATTGCACACATGATTCGTAGACAGATGACTGCCTAAATGTAATCTGTTGAATTGGCTACATTTAAACCTTCATATATTAAACACTACTGTTCAAAATAAAAATGTACGTATAACTTTTTTTTTCAAAAACTTTCCTGCTGTGGTATTTTGATTTGTAAATTTCGGAACATCTATATATGTATGTATATACTTAAATATTATGTTATTGTAGGAAATTAAAACCAAACTCAAAAATGAAAATATGCAAGAAATATCACATCAGTTCAATGCTGCTATAATAGGTTATGATGAGGGCATACAATCTGATGACAAAGTATTAGCAGGAGCATTATGGAGACGATTCTTTCAGTTGGAATGCAACAATCCGGAATACGTTGAAACGCTTGTAATTTATGTTAGGAAACAGGTAAGGCTGTAAAAAGTAATGCATAACTATATTCTATATTTTATTCTATGATTTAAGCGTAAGATAAAATCAATTTGACGCAGTTTTTACAATTGTACACTATTTAAAAAATCATTTCTTTTTTATCCGCTTTTCAGATTTGTTTGCTTGACAGTATACCAAATAATGAAATTTTAAGAAAACCAATTTTAAAATTAATAGACATAAAAAGTTTGTGTAAACAACAACAATAATTACAATTAGCAGACTAAATTGACAGATAATGAAAAAATATTATGTCTTTGTAAACACATTATGAAAAGGTATTGTAAAAATATAGTAATAAATATAATAATATAATGGATTGTAACTTTTTTATAAAGTATTTTCTATAAATTACAATGTTTTCCACTTTGTACTTTACATTAATGACATATTAGGTTAAATTTGGTCAACTGTAAATTCAAGACTACTAATTATTATCACATTTAATTTCGTGATCTCCTAGGCTCACAATTATATAGCATATAAAAGTTTTCATGCATTTTGCATCGCATTCTCCCATCAGTGATGCATCAGCTTGTTTAAAATAGTTCCTGAATCAATTATTGTTGGATGAAATAAAATACTGGACAGATAATAATTCACAATTCTCTATATATTACCTGTGGTAACGTTTCAACAGGTCCTCGTCATTTACTAGTTTAAACAGCCAAGCTTGTAACGAATCATATGTCAAGTCGGAAAGGCCATATTCTTCTTTAAACGAGTACGACTTATACCATATTGGCCGTTTGTCAGTATTAATGTTGGCTAAAGTCAAATTGTATATCCAATTATCGAAATCTTTTACTGCCTGTAATAGAATTTAGCCAGTCGTGTAAGTGTACATTTTATCTCGAAAGGTGTATTTTATTAGAACGATATAATATTTACATAATTTTTGCTGTCAATAGTGTAGAGCTTGTAATTGGAATTTAAATTCTCGTAAGTAGTTATGCTACCACCATTCCAAGCAATGCTGTTAATATTGCTGTTATCATTACTGTTGTAAATCACCTTTAGTTCATCTTTATGCGTATGGCCGTTGAATTGCGCTCTAATTATGTGGGCAAATCTATTGACAATTTTAATGTATTCTCTTTTCCACGTGTTTTGACAATCTGCATTACCAGGAGGAATGTGCGCTAATATGTGCACATACTCTCCATCCTTTTCAGCTTGCAAGAGCGTATTCGCCAACCATTGCAACTGACCATCAGGATCTCGCGGTTGATACAATAGCCACCTTAGTAGAAGAAATTATTCTGTTCAAAATCGCGTAAAGCAAAACATTTAATTTATACGCTTCTTGCATTTAAAATAAATATATGACAATGTAAAAATAGAGTTAGCAACAATACATTAATCTTTTTTTATTGATTTCTTTTTGTTACCTCAAAAATGTTAAGTTTTTTTATTTCTATTGTGATACAAATAATTTTTATTTGTAAATTCCAATATCGTAATTCATAATATTGATCTGTAATACAGACTTATCTTATTATCAGTAATATATCTTTGCTTTAATAAATGTTATCAATCTAAGAGATATCGGTTAATAAATACTTTTCTATCAACGTGACAATACATTGTTGTGCACAAGATAACTTAGAATATTTCTTGGCTAATATCTTAGTTTGATAACATTAAGCAGACATATCACTGAGATAAATCAGATTGCAATCTGTAAATAAACTACTTGTATTAATTAAAACTGATTTATAATATACTCACCAATTGTAGCTATAACACACATTATTGTTCAAGGCTATAATTCTAAATCCTTTTTTCGGCGAAGTGGTATAAAATCCGCCCTGTAAAATGGTAGAACGTGTAGATTCCGGTAGCCACCCGAAACCAATCCATAAATCAGCCAGCATTTTATACAACCATTGCGTGCTTATCTCATCATTAGTAACAGTCATAGGTGCAAATCTAAAAGAATTGTTCAACTTCAACATTATGTTAGTATCGAATATGGAAATGAATATGTGCATACTATATAATTGCGTATAATTTATATTTATATTAAAAGTTTTTTTGATAGCTCACTGATTTACAGGATGCGGCTCATGATTACCCAGAATTGGATACACAGGAATATTTCTGAAGGTTTCGTAAATTTTGAAATAGCTTTTGTTCAGACTTTCTACATTTCCCTTGATAGTAGTCTCCCAAACACCGTGGTCTATTATGTCACCAGTGAAATAAACATAGGAAATATTCTACAAATTAATTAATTTACGTTCTTTAAAATTACTTACGGTTTTAAATTATAAATAATAATATATAGTAATATATGTAGGTTTTCGCGCGTACTTTATGTTCAGCTATAATGTGATCTAGAGCATCAACAACGGTATGCCATGGACTGTCGCAATAATTATAATCTCCCCAATAGCCTGCCACCTTGCCGCTTGTATTTGTCTTGTTTTGTCCTCTTCGGCAACAAGTTGGTTCATCACAATATGAATTACCATAAGGTTCATAGTTAGGATCGTAATGAATATCTGTTATTTGCACTATATCTATGGTTTCATTGCTTTCTTCCGGTTTAATTAATATTGGGGGACCATTATCAATAATGACCGTCCAATTATTAAACTCGCTATTATTAAGTGGACAAGACGGTGAATCCAGTAAAACTCCACAAATTGTATCTGCCGTTAAATTGGGCTTTGAATCTATGATATGCAAAATTATTGGCTGCAAATAAAACGTTCAGCCCCATATGGTATAAAAAAAATTAATAGGAAACGCTAGAAAAATCTTATCGTTTTGATCATGGAATCTGATTCGTGAATTCATTAATTTAAATCGAATCTTATAGAAATTTTATATAAAACTCATAAAAAACGATAAAATTCATATCCGATCAATCTGATGTTCGATAATAGAGATTGATATAAACTTATAGAAGCAGATACAAATTGATAGAAATTCTATCATTCTCTTTAAACTTTTTTTTATCAGGTATAGTATTGAGTATATATTAAAAATAATTGATCTCTGCTGAAAATGTCTGATTGAAACCATTAGAAATTCAGTCCTATTAGGTCTAACAAGACTGAATAGCGTTTTTGAACCTGCATTTTCCATTAAAACATAATTCGTCCCAAATAGATTTACTTTATTGAATCGGAATATTCGAATAAGTTCCTACAGTTCTGAATAAGATTTGACTTAAATATTCCAATTCCGTCCTTTAAGTTTTAATACGTCTGTATCGGTTCCAATCGCTTTTAATCGGAAATAAACAATACAAATTCTATTTGTTTCTACTGGTTTTATTAGCGTTTTTGAACCATGTTGAATGGGATTTTATAATGTTCAATTGGAAATTCACTCTATGAAATCAATATATTTCTAATGATTTCTATCAGGATGAATAAGCTAGATTTGATTTAAATATTCCTATTCCATCCTACAAGTTTTAATACGTCTGTATCGGTTCCAATCGCTTTTAATCGGAAATAAACAATACAAATTCTATTTGTTTCTACTGGTTTTATTAGCGTTTTTGAACCATGTTGAATGGGATTTTATAATGTTCAATTGGAAATTCACTCTATGAAATCAATATATTTCTAATGATTTCTATCAGGATGAATAAGCTAGATTTGATTTAAATATTCCTATTCCATCCTACAAGTTTTAATACGTCTGTATCGGTTTCAATAGCGTTTAATCGGAAATAAACAATAAAAATTCTATTAGTTTGTACTAGTTTTATCAGCGTTTTTAATGATGTTGAAACGAATTTTAAAATGTTTATTTTCCAATTAAACACTTTAAAATTCATTTCAACGTCATTAAAAACGCTGATAAAACTAGTACAAACTAATAGAATTTTTATTGTTTCTTTCCGATTAAACGCTATTGAAACCGATACAGACGTATTAAAACTTACAGGATGGAATAGGAATGTTTAAATCAAATCTTATTCATCCTGATAGAAATCATTAGAAATATATTGATTTCATAGTGTGAATTTCCAATTGAACATTATAATATCCGATTCCACATCTTGAAGAACGCTAATAAAACCTGTAGAAACAATTAGAATTTTTACTGTTTATTTCCGATTAAACGCGATTGGAACCGATACAGACATATTAAAACTTAAAGGATATAATAGGAAAGTTTAAATCAAATCTTATTCACTCCGATAGTGATGTTGAAACGGATTTTAAAATGTTTATTTTCCAATTAAACATTTTAAAATTCATTTCGACATCATTAAAAACACTGATAAAACTATAGTACAAATTAATAGAATTTTTATTGTTTATTTCCGATTAAACGCGACTGAAACCAATTCGGATGTATTAAAACTCTCTTATAATGATTATACTAGAAATATATTATACTATTATGAAGAAATTCTTACATATTGTTATTATAATAATGAAAATATATATAATCAAAATTTTCAAGTTTTTATTTAATTCATTTAATTAAATTTTATTCGTATAATATAATTCAATTTTTACTTACCAAATTAATAGTTACCACACCATCGCAGACTTGTGGAGATTGCAATTTTAGCATAGTACAAATTTTAATCACTTTATTTTTTATGTCTTCTGCTGACATGCCCTGCTTACGATATTCTATAAAAATATTCAGGACAGATTTACATATTATGCAAATATTTTCACTAGTTTCACCATCAAAACTACGCCAATCTTTACGCTGTAAATCAGTTGGAAGAGATAGATTTTGAATTAACTGTTGAAATTCTTCGGAATTCTCTTCTATTGTTAACCAATTATTAATTTCTTGCGTAAAGTGTGATATTATGTCATCTGCAAAAACAGATAGAATTAATATCTTTCAATTTTTGCAACAAAGTAGAATACATACGCGGTGTATAAAATATATTAATTAATATACGTATATGTGTATTATTATTGTCTGCAATTCTGTCTTAAATAATTGTTTTAAAATAACTAATTTTATAAATAATCTCCTATGATAGCAAGAAAAGATATTTTGGTTGTTTTCAAGGTTTTTAACGTGAAAAAAAATTCCGATATGTACAAATTATATATCATATTTAAGCAAAGTGATTACTGCTTATCTTGAAGAAACCTCGGGATCATGAAAGAAATTGTGATCAAAGACGATAATGCGCTATCATATTTGTTGACAAAAACTTGTTAACTATAAAACACCAAAACATTCGGGGAATTAAGCAACAATATTATTATTTAACATGTATAGTTCGATATAAACATTTTTATTTATTCAAAGCCAGAGTTTTTTAAATCAAACTTGATTACAATATTTATTTATATCGGACTCTTCATCGCTTATCAATCGCTCAAAAATCTTCAAGTTACACATATTTAAGTAACAATGCAATCCTTGTTATTTAATTCTCAAGTTTTACTTAATTTTTCGATGTAAAATAAGCATATGTATTGTCTTTGATATCACGATTTCTCTTTGTTTTTTTAAGTTTCCCCAAAATAAACAATATATCACTCGACTTCCCTTAAGTCCTTTTAAAATATAATTGACTAATCATTATAGTCAATTATTCCTTTCTCATTCGGCTGATTGGTTAATTCTTACAGATTACGACCAGTATAATAAATGATCCTTTATACATTTTTCGTAACTTATTGGCTATTAATTCTTAACGATGTGGCTTACGATTACTGTTATTATACGGGAAAGTATGTGCTGATTTCCTTATAGGGTCATAGTACATAAAAAAATTTAAACAGCAAGACCGGTTAAAATCAACATTGTTAGATTTGTTACTGCTTACGCTATGGCCTTACAGCCTTTACTGTGATAGGCCGATTAGCTTACTGCTTACGTTTTTTTATATGCCATGGCCTTTAGTAATGTGAATATATAGTAAGATATGTTTTACTATCAAGATAAACATAGTAACTATATAAAATAATATGGACAGCGTGAATTTTACAACATTATTTTATGATATAATTTAATAATCTTTTGTTTATATATGTGTATATTGTATTATACATATTATATTGTACAATATATATAAAAACGTCAAATTGTATATTTAAAAGATTATGTATAATCTTTTAAGAATTTATAAATTTATTAAATATACAAAAAAATGTACTATTTCTTTAATTGAATTTTATCTAATAATTTTTATCATACTTGTCCTGCTTGTCACGTCGCTGTTTGCAACTTTTAAGAAAAGTGCAAAAAACAGTAGTCTCCAGAACTGCATGTTGATGCGATTACTCGATCACTGTAGTACCACTATATCACCAGAGTTATTGTACATGTTATATAGTGTCAGTGTTATTATATCTTTAAGATAATTCCCCCACTTTTTCTCAAATAGCTTTGTGGTTTAGTATGTAAGAGTGTGATAGGGGTATAATTAACTACAATATACTACATTGTGGTCAACACAAACAAATAAGAAAAACATTATCATTATAGTGTGATCAGATTGTTTTAATATTTATAGTAAGAATATTTTGCCTTAAATATAGCCTGGTAAAAATTATGTAACAGAAATTCAGTTTTTAATGTTGCATACTGTATCATTAATTGATCTAATAATATTATGATCATCTAATTAATATTAGTAATATATAATCATCTAAACACAAACAAATAATGATATTAATGATTAATTGATGAATAATTAATGTAATGTAATCGAATTGCAAAAGTCATATCAACTTAATTTCATTTTGTAACATCTTTATTGATGTATAAAATATATCGTCAAGACAATAAATTGAATTATTATTTTAGATACATAAAAATATACTATTGAAACTTCGTAACAATCTTTCTGTATGTATTCATAATTATATCAATTTACACGTGCTATAATATGCATGTATATAGAAGATTGTGAGTACATTTCTCAGGTATATTTAAAAAATTATTTTTTTGAATTATGGACCGGTTTCACTAAGCTCGATTAACCTTAATCGATGATTAACTGTCAACCGTAATTGGTCAATTTTACTAAACAGCAAATGCGATTGATCAGTTCTACAGCCAATTAACTAATTAACATTGGAGGAATTGGCCCTATATACTCTTTTTTTTTTATTCACAATTTTATGTATTTTAATCTTCAATCACAAGATCGTCCATCATTTCCTCGAGTGTAATCTGTGGAATGCTCGGGTCTATTTCGTTAGTGTCAACAGGAATATGTTTCTGAGCGTCTCTAAATATGTTGATGTTCTGTCTCATTTCCGGATCTTCTTCTAGCTCATCAAGGAATTCATTATATTCACTGAAAAATACAAGTGATATTGTAAAACAATTTACAGTACACAAATTTATAGGCTTTTATATAACTTTTCAACATACTTATTTTCTGTACTCATACTGGCTACTTCTTCAGTAATATGTTTCAACTTCCATACTCGTGCCTTACGACGAGCTGCTTTGTTATGGCCGTAAAACTTCTTTACCAGTATGATATCTGGTATTGTATCTTCACTTAGTTTATCGAAATTGGTATCGTTAATATTACTGTTTTTCAGAGCATAACTGTAATAAATTAATTCAAAATGAATTATATATGTTATTATAAAATATTTAGCCTAACGATGTAAAATGTACATTTCGATACTATAAATGGTTTTAATTTAAGCAATTAGATGTTCTGCTAAAAGAAAAATATAATATTGCACTGGAGCAGTTGCTACACTATTCAACATGTATGACTTTATTCCTACAAAGATAAGATCTGTATTAAAAACAAATAATAGATCAATCTCTTATTAATAAAACAAGTAGTACAGGTGATCACTTGTGTTTTCAGATGTTTATATTATTTAGTATATCTCCTACATTACGTACAATAAATTTATTGTAAATTACATAAACTTACCCGAGTACTGAATCACCTGGTTTAAGTATATGGCCTAAATGTGTATATGTGTGAGTTGGATTATCATTTATTCCTAATTCAGATGCTTTCACTAGCCATGCGTCCGCTATGATGTGCTTAAAAATTAATTATTAAAGATTTATCTTGAATGAATTACATGTTAAACTTGTCATATTGTCGAAGTATTTTATACAGCAAGAAAACTTACTTTATTAGAAATAGTTCCTTGTCCTGGAAAAATTTTTCTATCTTTGTATCTTATTGGTTCAATATCCATCACGATGTATTCTGTTAATTGTTTTGGATCGCATATACTATTGAAGTTATTTCTCCAGTAGACAGTCGAACTAACTTCAGCAACTAAATGAAACATACTACTTATAGCATTAATTAAATTAGCATTATGATTATTATTATATCATTACTTACTCTGTCCCGATAAAAAGTCTATAAGATGTACGGCATTTGTGATTCGATATACCAAACAAATAGGATTAATACCTCCTAACTGTTGAGCCAACTTCCGTGGTAGGCAGACTACGCTATCTTTGGAAAGCGGAATGATTTCAACGCTGTAAACGATGCGATAAAAGCATTATAAATCGAAATACATCGCAAATGTATGTTACGTATATTTACCAGAATGTAAACTTGTAATTATATAAATTACTATGGCAATCGTGTGAAATTAATCTCTTTGAATGTTGATACTGGCATGGCATAACCGTCATTAAAAAATCAACCATTTTTCTAGCTGCGGCCTCGTTTGCATAGAAAAAATCCAGACCCTCTGTAAATGTTAGAACTTTATGTATCTGTTTGTCATCTATTTTATTACAATATATCAGTATTTTTCAACCTTTTTTAATTCGCGACATATTAAATAACGAGCCATTAAGTTTAAAACTGAAAGTGTATGTACTGACACTTTAATGAACTTTGACCACCTATATTTCTTCAACCAATTATAGCTCAACTTAAAATTTTTTTTATGTGTGTGTGTGTATGATTGATGTTTTAACATAAGATATTATTTGGCATATAATTGAATTTCAAAATCACACACATTTGGAAACTCCAACTCAATTGGAAAACCTTGTATCAATAGTATAGTATCAAAAAGTTTTCATAGAATATATAACGTTTACCATGAATAGGTTTTATGCCTAATGTGTGCTCATGTGCTTTATGTTTCAATATCAATTGCTCTAAGTAATAAAAAGTTTTCTTATTTGTTGCTCTCTGTCGGACTTGCACCTGTAACACAATACGATATGTATAAGGAAGCCTTATAATTGTTTGATATATTTCAATTTCTTTTAGATTCTCTGTACAACCATGAAAACTTACACATGCACGCCAGTAATCTTTAGCTTCCGTACGATGACAATCTTCGCACATTTGATGATTCACGATATATTCGACTACAAATACTTGCTCCAGGACTGTTCCTCCAATTACTTCTGCATGAACAGTTAGTTTTACCTATAAGAAATATGTCATATAAAATGGAAATAATATTTAACACTTAAAATTAGTTAATTAAGGTAGATATTTTCTAGTTTATTTTTTTTTCAATTATTTTCATTAATTAAGTAATGTGTTTTTAGCTATGAAGAAATTAAAATGAAAAAGTAATTAGGCTGTATATAGATTAATAAAGTTAAAGGCTGTAAATTTAAACAAATATTAAGCACATTTAATATGTAATATATAATAATTTATTGAGAATTTTTGAACAGGTTTTATTTAAAAAAATTATAAATATATATAGAAAATGTTTTTTCTTAGAAAAAGTAATTCGTTGTATATACATAGTAAATTTACAAAAATTACATTTTTATAACAATAATTTTTATAAAGAAAAAAGTAAATAAAAAAAATAAAACAAGTAACATAAGTAACTCCAGTAACTTTGCTTGTATTATCTAAATAAAACTTACTTTCAATCTTTTAGAATGTGGCTCTGTCCATATAAAACCAGCGTCTATCAGTTTCACACGGTTCAATCCCTTTAATTTTTTCAAGCACAGTGACAAAAGTTCCCTGGATTCTAAGGCGGCATGAATCCATTCGGAAGGTGGCTGAAGATACCTGTTATATGAATATATCATATTAGTTTAATTAAATTAATATATAACATTCACACTTCAAATCTTTTTAAATATCATACCTCTCACAACTCTTGCAAAATTGTATAGTTGCTTGCTTAGGGATGCCCTCTGTAATATCAACATGAGTACGTAGACATGCTACACACATATTGGCAGGATTCGGCTCAATGAGAACCCCACATTCGCAACAGAGACTACAAAGAAAAAAATTCGTTTGGAAGATTAATTTTATCTTATAAATTTGTATACATACACATATATATATATATATATCCGATTTTATACATACATATATATATATATATGTATAAAATCGGAGGTGGTGGTATTCTGTATAATTACCAAAAAAATTAATATCTTAAAGAATACATTTTATACATATACATACATCATTCCTTTCTTTGTATCCTCAGAGGCTTGTTGAATATATTCCATTTTATATATTTGTCACTGAGAAGAGAGAAAAATAAGAATCTTATAAAATACACTCCACGTGTGCTCTTCTCCTCGTGGATGTCACTTGATTTTAGGAGGAAAATATTTCCATACCAGATTGTATTCTAGATATAAAAATATGAATCTCCTTCTTCAACAAATCTTAAAATTTATAGTACTTGGACAAGATCTTTATCTATCTGAAGTTATTTAAAACACTATCTCCAAAAAACATCAAGAATTAACTGTGCAAATCCTAAGACAAATCTTTGCTCTTCTAACCTCATTGATCTAAAAACCAATCTATCTTTTTTTTAATTGACCCGATAACCTAATCTGATTGGTATATACTAAGCCACTAGATCTGCAGTATCTGGTGAATTCGTCAACTGTGGTGATAAAACCCTATAAAGGCTTGTTCTTTTTGCCTACACTGTCTGCACCAGTTCAGGCAGTGCAGAGAAAAAGAACAGGCCTAAATACTGCGATCGTGGTCGCCCATTCTACATTGGTCGTATCGTAGGCGTCGCAAGTCACAAATTTGTTGCAACAGCCAATCCAATGTGTCAATTTAAAGTCTCACGACATTTACGATGCTACGGTACGACCAATGTAAAATGAGTTTTAGATTTTAACCTGATCCGGGTTGAATCTTTGACGTCACATGCTCTATTTTGATTTCTGATTGGACGAGATCATGATATTTTTGGGTCAAACACGGGTTAACCTGGGTTAACCGACCCGGGTCGGATTCAAACCTATTCCATTCGATAACGCTAAGGCTGGAGTCACATTGAGCGGTAATTACAGCGGAACGGAATAGTGAAACCAATCAGAACTCTACAATCATTCCGCTGCTTTACTTTCTGCGATTGTGATTGGTCTCGCTGTTCCGTTCCGCTTTAATTACCGCTCAATGTGACTCTATCTGTAAAAATTGACCAATCACAGACGAATGAGGGGGAAATAATGAATTTTAATTGGTTAATTTTTACAGATTACGGCCAGTATAATCCAACCCTAATAGGGAGCGTTCAGCGTTGAGTTGAGTGTGCGCTCGCTGTCATTGGTGTATTCTTTTAGATCATCCAATCAAAATTTTAGATCTAGAAGAGTGCACCAATAATAGCGAGTATTCACTTAATTGTTGAGTCCGCTGAATGTGCCCTTATCGACGGGATCATAGATGTTGGCTGCCTAGTTCAATGTCCATATTTTTGATTTAAAATATTTATGTAACTTTACTTTGATGAGGCGAAAAACGGCTGGCCGCTGTCATCGGACCAGGACAACGGACGGACAAGGCTAGGCCACGTAAAAGACATTGGATAGCCGATGTTTACGTAGCGACATGAAAAGGAAAGACAAAATCGGCGCAATTGTTTGTTACAGACGAGCGAGATCACGAGGTTTTTCGCAGAAGGCTGCTGAATTAGAATCCCGAGGATGGGCTCCGGCCAGAGTGCCCGCAAGCTGACCATCTCGAACGAAGAGGAAGTCGGGGTGATCAAGGTGTCAAACGCGATCGTACAGCGTCTCGCTCAGGGAGAGAAATCAAGGGCGCATAAGCCTCCGTCGGATGCGATACCCTCACCGATGCAGCAATCGGCACCTTCCAGGGTGACAACATCCATGTCTCACACTAGCGAAGCCACGCCTGGACAGCCAGTGTATTATCCAGAGTTGACAGTGTCTGCTCTTCAAATGCAGCAGCAAATGGAAGAGGAACTAAGACGGCAGGATCAGTACTGGCAGAGGCGCCTAAGAAATCTCGAAGATGGTTACCAAAAGATCAATCGCGTTTTAGATGAAGAATATAAGAAGGCAGCTAATGAATCCTCTGCCGCTAAGTCTGGTGAGTTTATATTTTTTTTCTAGAACAGCTTTTGATTTATTCTCTAATTTGTTTTGCAATCGTATGTATACCAAGTTTCTCCTATAAAATGGTTTTAACAGAAAGAACAGTTCAATGATTTTTTTATATGATTTATACACTTAGATCCAAAGAAACTAAAGATGAGGACTAATCATATATGTATAAAAAATACTATCTGTAAATATATATTTTGTCACTCATACTACATTGCACTAATATACTTTTATACAGGCTGCTTTATATAAAGTATCTTAATGTAGAGTAACATATAATATAATCAACTTTGATAATGAGATAATATCTATGTATGTATTCTATTAAGTAATATGACAACATCATTATATTAAGTATTTAATAATTTAAAATATCCATATATGTTTTGCTATTTAATTTTTTACTAATTTCATGTATAACAACTTTTTAGTATATACTAATCTATTATAATGCAAGCAATCAAGCTCACTGTAAATGCTTACTAAGCAGCTCTTTTTATTTGTTAAACAGAGCTAGCAAACAATGAATCATTATTAAATAGTAATCATAATCTGTTCTTATTACAAGAACACTGTCTTAAATATTTTAATTAATCTTAAGACACTAATATAGCTTATAATTGGTTTATGACATTTTGAAACTAATTAAAATCAGCCTTAAATATAAGAAACTTTCTATGGCTGCTTTCCAATTGATGACACAAGTCGACACAAGTATCGTTCTATCTTTCTTGATATTTAGTGATTGACAAAAATAGAACGACACTTGTGTCGATTTGTGTCATCAATTGGAAAGCATCCTATAATAGGTTTTAAGTCATAAGAAATTGACCAATTACAGTCAAATGTGAGAAAAATCAACTGTAAACGGTCAGTTTCTATAGCTTGAGACTTAAAGCTTATATAATAATTTATTATGGCCTATATCACCTAACTATCAATGCCAGCCTTATAGCGTTTTCTCTTGGCTGCACCAGTGTAGGGTGATTGCACCAGTTCATCTTTTTTCCTTTTCCCTTCTCCTGGAGAAAAAAGGAAGAAAGATGAACTAGTGCAAAAGTTCAGCTGAGTATTGCACTGGTGCCAAGAGAAAACGCTATTAGATATTTACTAATACACAAATAAAATTAATTTCTGAATAACTTACTGCTCTTTGATAATTAAAAAAAGTTATACTAGTAGTATATTCAAGACAAAACGAAATTTTTACACAATGTAACAAATAATAAATTTTGCAATTTAACATAAATATATGTTATTACAGGACAAAAAATTACCAATATTCAAAATACAGTGCAACCCTGTTTAGAGAACAGTAATAAAGTCCTGAAGTGTTTCCAGGACCATCCCAAGGAGACTCTTAATTGTTCGAACTTGGTGGAACAATTTTCGAATTGTGTCTGGAACGTACATGCACGCATGATCGAAACACGTTCGTAATATATTCTATTTGCATGTCTCATGGATCATGACATTTTCAAAGGACATTTAGTCGACAGATAAATTGTATATCGAAGAGTAATGCCTAATACTTATCTCAGCAGAATTGTTATCGATAAAAAATAGTATGAAACAAAGAACACACGAGGAGAAATGTAAAAAATAAATGAATATATATTGTGATTTATAATAAAATTAGATGATTGTTACATTTGCCAGATGAATATTGTTAAGCATTAAACAAAAAGTAAATTTCTTTGATTAATAAAATTTATCCAGAATTATTAATCAACAATAGAATTTCATAATGTCTTGTGGCACAAAATTTGTTTACTAAAATAATGATTTTGTGTGTGTGTGTGTATAAATTTTGATCTATATATATATATATAGTTCTATTTATAGATCAAAATTTATACATTATAAGGTGCACAACCCAAATAAAGATCTATAGTAACACAGCATCTATATATTATCAAATGTATGTATATCTAGTATATATAATTTTATATAAATTAGTTAATGTGTAAAACGAAGAAACTTTGCAAATGCAGGCTATTGGAAATACATTTGTGATACATTATCTAAGATACATGTATGTAAAATATATATATTCTATTTATACATTATAAGATCTGCCAAATATATGTAGCATGCAGTGATGAATTATTTTCGTGTAGTATAAAATTATATCAGTTGATGATACCTGTTATCATGGAAATTAAAATTTAAGTCTGTTCTTTTTAGCTGAATCTTGCACGATTCATTTTTTCTTTTCACGTTTGAGAAGAAAAAAAAAATAAAATTCATAAGTTTAATTAAAAAGAACAGACTTAAATTTATATCACTCCTTCAAAAAGAAAGAAAAATACAAAACAACTATAACGAAAACTTTAATTTATGGAATTCTTAGAATTACAATGTTCATTATTTCTAAAAATTAAATGATATATCGTGAATTAAGATGGATTTCAAACCTTGTACACAAACAGTGCACAAGATTGGAGAGGATGTACAATGTATTCCGAGGCACATTACACCATCACACAATCACACAATAGTAATAATATTTACGTACAATATCGTAACGGAAGTATATGATTATATATATATATATATATATGTATGTTTTAATATCAAGAGATTGATTCTTGTTTAAATTTGCAATACAAATTATAATGTAACGAAACAAAATTTTAGGATTCATGAGCAAATGATGATTTAAAAAACGAAGAAAAAGAAAAACAAGTAACCTCAATTATTTAATCGGTTTTCTTATCACCACTCGATTGTGAAAGTTTCGCATATTCCTTAGTCAAACGATCGTATTCCTTGGTGAGTGACTCCGCCTGCGATTTTACTGCTTCTTTATCCTTTTTTTCTTTAGTCAAATTACTCTCAAGTTCCTGATTTTTCGCTTGTAACTCTTTAATTTGATTTTTTAATTCTGAGACAGCTTTGTCGTGTGCCTCATTGGAATCATTCTGCGCACTTTCCCCAATTGTTCTCTGAGACAATAAGCTCCTAGCTGTGGTTGTCGCGGACTGAGCCTGCCGCATTGCTGCTTCGTTTTGCGCGAGTAAAGAAGCTTGAGCAGATATCAAAATGACAAGACGGCGTATCACCAAGCTCAGAAATAGCGCAAAGCCAGATATGTAGAAATTTCTTTGTGCACGAAACAATCTCATGTTTTCTGGAAAAAGTATACAAGTGTCAACGTTAAAATAAACGTAAATGGAATCAGGAATCACAAGAATATAAAATTCAAATAATATACAAAAAGGAATATTGTGAGATACAAAAGAGTGATCTTTAAGTATTTTAAGAATTTAAGTAATTCATAAAATCAATTAAAGATAAAACTTTATGTATAAACAAATGGCTTAGTTTTAAATATACAAGGTGTTAAAGTTGAAAAAATATTGAAAGTTACTCAAATTATCTTTTTTTTTTACTTTAGACACTGTAGACAGTGTACTGAAATTTCATAAACAATTTTTTAATAACTGGATTTTTTAGGTATATTTGTTCAAAATTATAGGTAAAATTAAAAATGTTTTTCACGCATATTTTAAAATAAATTAGAGTGCAAACAACGCAAATAAATATTAAATTATTTGTACGACCGTGTAATTGACAAACAAACAAAGAAGAACAGCCTATAATGCAAATAAATTTGACAGGATATTAAGACCTACCGCACTACCTGATAATGATAGATTCCTGAATTTATTTTGAGATGAAAATTCTAATATCAAAATATCGAGGCTATAATTTTGTTTTCTAATTATAAGTATTTAAAGTTAGTGAATTATATTATCTAAAATTCACATATGTTTAGATGTGACACTTTGTTTCACAATACGATGCAAAATGCTAATTGATTGATTAATTAATAGTTATCATCTTCAATTAATGCAAGAAATCATCTCTCAAAATTTTACAGAATAAAAAATTTCAAAATCTCTACAACCTACCTTGCATTTCGATGTTCAGTTGATGATGCTCTGTATGATCTGAGCTTGTGGAGTACTTCCGCATCTCTCGTATGGCATCCAGCAGAAAGAGAACCAGAACGCCCAATAAAACCACAAAGTAAATAGAAGCCTGATTATTTATGCTTTGTAAAAACCTAGATCTGAAGAACTTTTGCCATCTAGTTGGTGAGGCTACTGGCAGCACTAGGAGAAGGACAATTGCAACCTCAATATAGAGGAAACCAGCTATGAGTGTCCACTGTAAACTCATGTTTGCCTCTTAGTCTACCTCTGTATTTCAATACCTAAAAAATGATGGAATATGAGTATCAATGTGATTTTAATATCTCGACATTTTGAAAATGTTTGGAAATCAAGTATTTATTCAAATTCCTTATTGACAGCTAAATCTTATCAGATCTTCTGACAAATAAAGCACTGTGCTCTCTAATATTCACAAAATGCATGCACAACAAGATACTTTATTCTCAATTTTGTTCATAAAAATAGGTATAAAATCTATCTTTAGCATAGATTTACTTTAACTTTGATTTAACTTATTATCTTTTAGGTTTCAAGAACTAGAAAAAGATCATGATAAATTAACCCAAAATTAAATTCAGTCTACATTGATATAAATGAACATAAGTCTGTTCCTCTTATCCCATTTTTAAAGTGTGCCTTCCAACAAAAGACACAATACAACAGTGATCATTTCCTTGTTTAACTATTGGCGAACAATAAAGATATACTGATACACTGTGTCAGACTTTGTCATCTGTGTTGATTGTTGGAAGGCATCCAAGAAGAAGCAAATATGACAGATTTTATGAATACAAGAAATTTTTCAACAAATTTTTGGAACTGTAAAAAAGGAATTTAGAAAATTCATGGAAAAATTAAAGTTTCTTTTTGGATATGTATAAAAAAAAGATAAAGGAAATTACAATTAATTCTCATTGATAGAAATGGTAATAACTCTCTATTTGTTCTATTTCTAAGAATTAGAAAAAGATAAAAAATAAAGAGAACTGAAATTAAATTTAATCCATATTAACAGAAACAGGTATTTGTTAAATCTTTTGCACTATTCTTTTTTTTCCTAACGCGAAAAGAAAAAAGATAAATTATGCGAGACATGCAATTGAAAAAAACATGTTGATTACTGTATTTTGTACTACGACGTAATTAATCCTTCTCAAGGAGTGCATGCAAAGAGAATTGACAGCAGGTGCAGTCAAGTTGCAGCTACAAATGCTTCGAAACATTTTATGATTGGTCAGTTAATAAAATTCTTTCTTCCAATTGGTCAATCAAATCCTTTGAAACATTCGTAGCGGCAACTCGACTGCATCTAGGATGACGTGTGATTTGGAATCGGATTATCATCAGTCATGACGCAACATCACTGCGATAAAAAGTATGAATAGAGAGAGGATTCGTGGAAATTTCGTCGATCAGCCTGCTGATCATTTTCGATGAAGCCGCACCTGTCACGTTCGGGCGCTCGATAGATGTAATCCACTCGCGAAAATAAACAGGAATACAGCACGTTGTCGACGTCGTCGCTATTCAGATAAAACAAAGCTCAACAATCAGGAGATTGGAATTGTCGGCTCTCTGGCACGCCTCTAAACACATACATATACACATGTATATATACACACATTTAATATATTTTTTAACAAATGTATCCTCGATGTATTTATAAACTGGCGTCTCGCATTCGTCCCGGGTGACCGGCGGCGAGTTTCACTCTTCAACCGTGGTCAACCACAGCAACGGATTCACTAGTATTTTTAATTTCTTACGTGTGAAGACGAGCAACGGCAGGAGGATTGGAATACGTCGTCGCGATCCCCGGTGACTTACGTGACGTGCAAGATGTACATAAAGAGTAGGTTTAAAGTACGATTGATAGGAGAATCCGAGCGGGGAACGTCTCGTTGAAAAGTTTTATAAATAAACCGTAATACCTCGTGACGTCACTCGCGCGAACTCCTTAATCCATTCTTTATTTTTGCACTACATGAACTGGTGCATTCAAGTGCAATAAGTTGAAGTAAAACAAATTGTAAAATATTAAAGTTAAATTCCCTATAAAGTTATTTCATGTCCCGATTGGAGCGCCAAGAAATGGACGAATAACAGTCAGGGTGCAAACCCATGCAGCGGAAAGAAACAATCAAGTCATTTACTTCACAAAAAAGAAATATTTTGATTCTCATATACGTTATGTGTTATGTAAGGGCTGCGCAGAATAAAAGGAACAGAGAACAGAGAATGGGTGCATCCTTCTGGAGCACAACTGCTCACTGGGCGCTCAGTGAGCTCTTGTATCTGTTTGGTTTATATTTTTAGATCTAATAGAATATGCCAATCAGATAAAAAAGCTCACTGAGCGCTCAGTGAGCGGTCGTGCTTCTGAATGCACCCAATAAGAATTTCAACCTATCGGAATCTTGTACTCAGGACAACGCGATACATGTGTGTTGAGTGGAAACGAGGTCTAATAACTTACGTTGGTAAGACTGACTTTGTTGCGTATAAGTTGGTTACCACTATAAACTTTGAAGAATGTTGCGAATGTTGCACCTGTCGTGCTCCAGTGTGTTTACATGAGGAACGAACATCAAACATCCGTCAGATCGATACCATTTACACACGCATGAATGCGTCTGACCGATGAACTCTTAACAATGCGTGAAGGTGCTCGTGCACGTGTCTGATTCGCCGTAATACGATTAATAAACGGCAAACGTGCCGAAGGAGAGAAAGAGAGTGCTGAGTGGGAAAGAAGCGACGCGACGCCGCGCCGGCACGATGATGTATGGATGAATGGATAGCACAGGATAGCACTCGTAGCAATTTGTAATTCTGTAAGTTTCGTTCCGACGACGCGCGAGTTTGGCGCGGAAACAGCCTCGAGGATACGTTTCTGCGCGAAGTTACGTCTATGGGACACAACGTCGCCAGTTGGGAGATGATACGCACGCGGGAGGAAAAGTCGAACTTCGACGGTACCGACGGCACCGAGGTTCAGCATACGATTATGAACAACATGGTAGACGCCAGAGCCTGTTACAAGCCAAGCGGCAAAGTGAGTTTAAACTTTAAACACGAATCGCATTTAAAGCTATTAAAGCAACTTTGATTAAATTCCGATTGATTCAACCAGTGGAATCGTTTTCCAGCAAATGTTTTGGCTATCCTCAACTCGTCGCTGATCTCATCTTATTCTCTGTGTTCGAACAACAAAGAATTTACAATTCTATCCTAATAATTAATAGTGAAATTATTTTAATAGAACTGTCAATTCTATTGTTGGCTGTAACTGTTTATAACTTTTAGCTTTATGACAATGGCTGGGTCATTCAAAATTGGATGGATATTTGTTAGTTTTCAAAGATATTATTTGTATGTATATTCCCTTTATATTATTAAGAGAATATCAAAAATCCAATTCGAAAAGAGCCATTTTTTCTTTTTATTTAGATTAAAGAATAAATTAAACCAAGATTACTTGTAAAGTTAATCTATACTGCTAGAAATGAATGTATTGCATATAATTATACTTAATAAGTTAATCAGGACTGGGTTGAAGTAGCCTGTTTATTCAGTCTTTATAGGAAGTTGTTCGTATGGAAGATTTTTTTGCATGCAGCTCTCTGTAATTTGCAGAAATTTTGTATGGCTTCGCGTTAATCGTACAATAAAATAAAGGAATGATTTTGAATAGAATCTGAAAAGCATCAACAAATTATTGTGTTTTTAATTAAGTATTAATCTGTTTCGTAGTCTTGTTATAATTTGTGTCGTGTGCGCATGTGATGTACAGCTGGTTTTTTATATTTATTGTTGATTAGAGACAACATAAAAATGTACCTATATGTTAGAATGATGGATGGAAAAAAATTCAGGTTTGTAATACTTATACACTATGATTTATTTAGCGAATTCTTTTTTTATTAAAATTATGCAATTTTTTTACCTAAACAAAGCTTATTTAAATAAATCCTGAATTATTCCAAGCTTCAGAGAATTGCTATACCCATGTTGTGTGTCCCATGCTAAAAATAATTAACTTTTATTCGTAACATACGTCGGGAAAAATTAATTTACGATTCATTTTTTATTTGAGTATATACTATTTTTGTATGTACCATATATAGAATAGAAAATTTTGACATAATTTTATTTGATTCTACAAAAAAAAAAAGCAAAAATCAGACATTTTAATTATATACATATTTCCATATTAAAAAAGAAATTTTCGATGAGATAAATCTTTTCTCGATTTACTGAAGAAGTAATCGTGAAATCATTCGTTTTTCAACGCTTCTGTTTTCAAATACTTTAGAAGATTATGGAATGAAAATGCAGTAGGTACAAAACTATACGGATAGTAGAACATGTACCTAAGTCATGCGTTTAGTTTCAGCAGTTTTCCATGGGGTAATCATTAAGATATACCAAATGTAACCAAATTCAATAAGTCCTCGTCATTCAAGAAATAATCGTATTTTTGTTTCTCTTCTATGCGTCTCTCGTGAATCATCGCGTTCATAGTGGCGCACAAATGAAATAGAAAGCAGAAGTGAAACACTTGGAGTCCACTTGTGATTTGTGTTGCTGAATGGTACTTGATGGTACTTGCAAAAGTATCAAACTCTCAAACGTATTTCGCAATATTATTGATACCGGTCTGAATAACGTTGCTATTGTCGTTAAAGGTGCGCGCGAGGCACTGCACGACACTACACAAACAACAACAGGCGTCAGGTTCTGTGAGCACTAAGCACTACCAGCGCTAAGTAGATAGTCACTCGCCTTTGTCAGTAGAAGCGGAACGGTCGGCGTGGCTCGATAGCGCTCGCCGCTCGGCTCTCGCATGGTAGCTCTTGACAGTTCTTCTTTTTTGTGCGACCAGCCCGTCAGTCGGTTGATCACGTAATCGCTCCGAGCATCACGAGGAAGGTGAAGAAATGCTAATTGCTCGCATGGCGCATCCGGGTGTACGTATCGCAATTTAAATATTAGCTCCGCAGACAGTTTTTTACATCTGGTCACAAACGAGCCAGAATTGCCGATTGCCAGACAGTATCACGTATCTGTACGTACTTCTGATTTTCCTTAACCGCTTTCGGGTTTCGTAATTCCTATTCTCGGTCGTGAAGATGTATCGAAACGACAAAAGAAAATTACTATCCGGCAGACGAGAAGGACTCGCTCGATGACATGCTAATAGCAAAAACTAGCGATTAGCAGGCCAGTTGGTTTCAAGTTGTATAGTCCATATCGTCTAGTCTAGAATGTAGATTATAGGTATAGCACCCGTGATGCAAGCCGTCAAAGAAACCTTCATCTCACAACTATATGTATGTGCCTGCACGACCAAAATAAGTTATCAAGTTTTGATCGCGTCGTTTGTACGAGCAAATAAGTGTCGTCAACTGGAAAATTTAACAACTCATGATTTTAAGCAGTTGATGTTTAGCGAACGGCCTTCAAGAATTTTTTCGCGTTGAACTGTTCTCTTCGGTAGAAAACCTTCAAAAGTTCAAAACTTCATTCGTAGTTTTTTAGAATTGTAGGGAAAGGAGTTACACTCAGAAAAGAGAAAAGATCTCGTTAACAGGATCGTCGCTGTCTGTCTCAGTAACGACACGATTGTTGCGACAACACGGCCAGAGTCTAATTACGCGAGTTAATTTAATCCCCATCACATTCCCTCCCTTAGCCCGAGTCTATTACTTTTAGTTACATGGAAATTACGGCCGCGCTTTGACGCGCCGCACCGCGCGAGGTTACTCTCATGATTTTATGAGTTGTTAATTAGACGCATGTGTCTCATTTTCCTTTGTTTCTTCTAGTAAGCGTGGCGTGAGAGAACGGCTCGTGTAGTTGGTTGCAATATTATCCACACCGGTGATTCTTTCTCCTTTTTTCTTGTTTTCTCCCTCACTTTCTCTTTCTCCCCTCCTTCTCTCTCTCTCTCTCTCTCTCTCTCTCTCTCTGTCTCTCCAATCACCTGCACATGCATGGGTCCCGGCTTGTCGATTACCGCATCCTCGTTGTGCACTGGCGACAATCGTCTCACCGCACACGTGTACTCATCGAGCACCGACCGTCCTGGACACCACATCCCAATCAGACATGACCAACGATAGACGGGTGAGTATTATATCTCTCTTGAGAATTAAAATCGGAAGAAAAACGCAAAATTTCTAAAATTATTAAATCTGCGATTTGTATGATAGAGTCGAGAGATTTGGATTGTCATACGTTTAAAATGGACCTATATATAGAGACTTTAAACAAAGGAAGTAATTTTTATTTTGGCCTGCATCCAAAAAACGATCCTTAAACTTTTACAAATTTATGCTTGTGCACGTTGAGCGAACTGTTTAGTTTTTAAAACGTTTTTTTTTTTTTTTTATAAAAGTCGACATATCGGAATCTCGTTAAAACCAATGCTTTTTTTTTTTAATTTATAAGCTTTTTTACTTCAAAAATAACGCAACTTACTCTCTATTTTCTTGGAAATGAGTAAAACTTCACTCCAAAAAAGAATGAAAATCCGCTACTTTTATTCAAGAATGCAAACGTATATTCGTATTGCCGATTTATTTATTTGGCAATAATTTTTATCAAACTAAAAAATAATTTTTCCCCTTTTCTGAGAAATTTGATTTTTAATTGTATCTACTTAAACGAGGGAATATATCAATATTTCACACGTATATTCTTCTCTCTTCGTATTAACTATGGATTTCATGTGTATAGAACAAATGAGGATATAAAATATCGCATCTTTATTGCATTATCTACGTAACAACGAGGAAACCGCAACGTGATTATATAATGTACCGGTTATTGATTTTGATTACGATAATTTGCACATTTAACAACACACGAGGTGTCCCGAGATCTATCGAACAATATTTTACTTACGTTTTTTTTTAAATCAATTTTGATCTAAAATCTTTTCTCTACAAAAATAATGATAGTTTTTAACTTATAAACAAATTTTTTGAAGCTGTAAATGCAGATCTTTCATTTAATTTTAAGTAGATTTTAATCCTTAATTCCATTTAATTTAAATTAACGTAAAAAAAGACTTGTATATATGAAAGAGGTTCGAATAGATTCTGCGCGCTTGATGTATTTCTGAGCGAAGAGGATTTCAGAATTGATCCTTTGCCGCAATTCTTACGCAGTTCACTTGATTATCTTCTTTCTTTCTGGAAAAGATCGCATAATTCTGATCTATCTCACCGCGCTACACTGCACACCGCGGTAAAAATACGTCGATTCACTTGAATTCAAGAGATTTCTCATTCGCGCCGTCAATTAGTTACAACCGCGTGTGATTCATTATTATTGTTTCTTCAGGCGCAATTTCAAGAAAAAAAAAAACGATCAAAAAGAATCTTTATTGACGTTAATTGTTTATAATTAAAGAAAAATGCATCATTTCTCCATGTAAAAAATGTAGCAAAAAATAATATATTTCTTTATTAAAATATATTTATTAATATATTAATATTCTTTATTAATATATTTCTAACATTTTATATAAACTTATTTTACAAACAGATGTTCAATTTATTCAATTTATATTGTTTTTATTATTTTATTTAGAGTAATTTATTTGATTTGTAGAAAGTATAACGTTTTAATTTAATATAAATAACGCTTCTTAAAATTAACTTTTAATTTAATTTTAATCAATTTAATCTGAACTCAACTTTTACCTAAGTTAATTTGCGCAACTTTTAACATAACTAAGTTAATAGACCACCATGTAACTTCAACTTAATTTAAACTTAACTTTAACTTAAAAATTAAATTAACTTACTCGATTTTTTAAAAGGATGTATATAGAGAATATTATAAATTTTTTTTTTTTATTATAAATCAGAAGAGAACAGTAAAAATTGAGATATAATGTTTAGATAGATAAAAAAATATCTCACGTAAGTAATTACGTTTGAAAGAAAAACTACGCGAATAATGTAGGGTTCAAAAGAAACATAAACATGATATCTGCTTTTTAAGTTTCGTAGGCCTTTCGAATACGAAGTAACGGAATGGAGAGGATATCGCAGTTAGTGTAACGTTTTGCTCGCCGGCACGATTTAATTATCGCGCATGATTCCGCGTAGAGAATACAAAATCGCACGGGGAAACGTTGTAAATATAACGTCAACTCGTTTTGCATAGACTCTCTCAATCGTTATTTTTATACTTCATCGCGCATCATCCGTTCTGCGTCGATTCCTTGGACTTTGTTCTCGCAGGCACTCGCTAAAAAATATGCAATCAGCCGATAACGAAATGTCTGTATTTTCATTCGTGATGCCGGCAACTTTCTTTTTTACGGTTTCTGAGTAAGAGAGAGCCCTCTTGAAGATCGTTCACATGAATGGTATTATATCTCTATTATTACATCATATTGACATGACGCGCTTTGTTTCTTTCTTTTTTTCTTATTGATATTATTTTATCACTTCGTAAGGTTGCAGTAGATATTCACAACGTTGTTCCGACGGGCCCTGCGATCGGGATACATAAAAAGAAATTTAAAAGAGAAATAGAGATGAATTATGAAGTGGATAAACAGCCGAGAAAACTTTTACGTAAATCTACATAGATTGAGACGAGATCTTAGAAATATTTAATTTTTCAACAAAAATTTTGTAGTTTAATTAGTAATATATACAAACGGCTTTAATAGGATCCTCTTAAGGTTCTTGAGTAGTCACCACAACTATACTGAATCATAAACGAAAAATGACACGTCAATTTTTATTACATACCATTTACATACCATTTCAATAGTTATTATTGATTAATAATACCATTGACTGCCAATCATATTTTTTCGTAAGGATGGCAAAAATTAACGTGTCATTTCTCGTTTTTAACGTCACGATTCAATATGTGACTACTCACTTAGAGAGAACCTTAAATATAGGTATATATTTTAATATGGTTGTTCGTTTTATTATCTTTTATCCTTTTTTATTTGATAAAATGGATGTTGAATGTTATTTATAGTCGTGGTTCCGCGGCGTTCGAAGCAGTAAGTTTCGACACGTTTACGGCGTGCCAGCCAAGAGGGAGAAATGCTACGACAACATCAAGATCACCAAAAACGCCCATGACTCGCAATTCTGCGCCGTAAATCCCAAGTTCCTGGCCGTTGTGACGGAGGTTGCGGGTGGCGGAGCGTTCCTTGTATTATCATTGGATCGTGTGAGTTATCTGTGCCTTATCGATTTATCGATTCTAGTCCTATGCAAGAACAAAAGTGTTAGCTAACATCGCACTGTCCGAGAAAGTAAATTCAAATTTTTTATTTTTCCCGGATATTTTTCACAATATTCTAAATATCTTACATTACAGATTTTTATATAACATTAATATCACGTTATGTCAATGCATATATTAATCATTTGTTGCAGACCGGACGACTTGACTTCAACGCCAGCCGAGTAACTGGACATACCGGTCCCGTTTTGGACATCAAATGGAATCCATTCAACGATAATATTATCGCGTCCTGTTCCGATGATTGCACTGTAAGAAAAGTTTTACATACATTTCCACTTATATCTCCAATAAACCTCACGGGAGATTTCTGTAGGAATGTAAACTGTACGGAATATAAAGAGAGATTAGAAGATTTAAAATCTATTCCAACTATTACTATACGTTTAACTCTCCGATGTTGATATCAAAGTCTGCAATACAATTACTGCTTTGATGGGTCTGTGACCCATTTATTATAATTTATATTGACTAAAAGACACTTCACACACGCACACATTTCAAAGAACCAATATGCTACAACTCATATAAAAAATGAATTGAGAACAAAGTTTATTTTAATAACGATAATTCAAATTTGCAGATGTAATATAAAGAATATAATTGAGGGGGTCTGATAGATCCATCATCAGCTCCAGAGGATTAGACTAGAAGTGAACGCGAAGACTTTTTTTTCTTTATATCTAGATAAAGTTGTGGCATATACCTGATGGCGGATTGTCAAGGAATTTGACCGAATGGCTGGTGGAGTTGCAAGGGCACAAACGACGTGTCGCTTATATCGAATGGCATCCAGTAGCTGAGAATGTGCTTTTTAGCGCAGGCTTTGATCATCTTGTTATCGTGTGGGACGTGAATAGATGCGAGGCAGTGAGCGTTATCGATAGACATCCTGATGTGATTTATAGCATGTCCCTAAATCGTGACGGCAGCTTATTGGCGACCACTTGCAAGGATAAGAAATTGCGTGTTTTTGAACCAAGGTCCGGTATCGTAGTTTCGGTAAGAAGAGATGAAATTTACGATCGTAAACATATTTATATTTAAGTTGTATAAGCTCTTTAACACCTTGGCTAATACATATAAAATATAAAAAATTATACAATATTTATCTCCTGGTCTGTATACACACTTGTATAAAGGTGTATACGCATTTAACATATAGTTACGTCACACATTCTATAGATAATAGGACTCTAAATTTTTGAGAACAGTAATAAAAATTAAAAATACTAAAGACAAATAAGAGTCAACGTATTAAAGTTGCATCTCGAGAAGCGTCATCAAATGTATTTGAATTAATTATGTAATTTATAATTTTCTATCTTTTACATATAAATTTTCACAATATATAATTTTATTTAATTGCGCACCAACTTCAGTGCATTGACCCTTATCTGCCCTTTAATATCTTTTATTATTCTAAATAAATTCTATGTTTATTGTTAAAAAGAGGAATAAAATATTACATCCTAGATTTTTCTTAAAAAAAAAAAAAAATAATAACATCTATTTAATAAATCTCATTTTTAATTTTAACAGGAAGGGGTATGTCACGCTGGCACGAAAGCTAGCAAGGTAGTATTTCTTGGCAGTTCTGGACGTCTTTTGACTACTGGATTTAGCAGACATTCGGATCGACAATACGCGATATGGAGTCAACATGACCTAACTGTTCCATTAACGTGTGAAACAATAGATTCATCCAGCGGAGTGGTTTTTCCATTTTACGATAATGATACCAACATGGTGTTTTTAGCTGGAAAGGTAAAAATATACTTATATGACATATGTATAATTCGTTGCAAAACTCACTGCATTGTATTATTTTCTGCAGGGTGATGGTAACATTCGATATTATGAAGTGGTTAACGAAGCGCCCTGGGTGCATTTTCTCAGTCAATTTATATCGGGAAATCCTCAGAGAGGATTGGGGATAATGCCGAAAAGAGGCATTAATACCTCTTTATGCGAGGTATTCAGATTTTACAAGTTACACGCGACTCGTGGAATGTGTGAGCCGATCTCGATGATAGTACCACGAAAGGCAAGTTTACATGGTTAATTTTTTATATTCTGTTATATTCATATTTTTAAAGATGTATTTCAAAGAAAACTGTGTTATATGTTGTAGAGTGATCAATTTCAAGAAGATCTATATCCTGATACAATTGGAACGTGTCCCGCATTATCGGCCAGAGATTGGATCAGTGGCATGAATAGCCCGCCAATCTTAATCTCTCTTAAAACAGGTCCTACATTTTTATACTCTATACATTGCGAATATCACGCGATCTGTCTCAAATATTGTTTAGATTTCTTCTAAGCTAGAGCTGTTTAGTTTACTCATATATATTTTTCCTTAATACGGTATATAGCATTATAGTAAAATTCTATCGAGCAGTCACGTTAATGGATATTATACTATTATTAGGTGGGAGTATCTCTACGCATAAGCCACGAGTGTACAAACCGCCGCAATTGCCTGCGACTACTGATCTAAATAACAAAAAGAAATTTGCGTTCCTGTCTACGGAAACGATACCAGATTACAGACCGGTGGAATTACACGATATGTCGGAAAAAAGCCAAAAAACATCCAGCAATCAAAGCACAAAGTTTCAACAACTTCAGCAGAAGTTTGGAAATGTTACTGTACAGGTACGAACATAATATATACATTACACATCGTTAATTTTTTATATATATTTTATATTTGAAATATTTTTTCTATCAGAAGAATATTATATCGTCTTCGCTTAATGACAATAAAGTTATGGAGACTGTGGACGTTCCAAATAATGAAGCAGAACTTCGTTTGGCATTGGCTCGTCAAACTGACGAATTGAGACTGGTACGACGGCAGCTCGCTAATAGCCAACTGCGTGTTAAGGAATTAGAGGACCAAATACGAAAATTTCAGCGTCAATAAAATTTATAAATTTGCTTCGACATCTGCTTTGAACAAGACAACTTATAGCTTTACTACTACACGTGACTATCAAACAATACTTAAAGTTTCTAGAGTATTTACGCACCGCTAATAATGATAAAGAGCCTAAGTTTATGAGAACTTTTAACATGCTTAGGGGATTTTAGCTTTGTCGTATTTATACACAAAGAAATATTTGCACACAATAATTTTTACTAACTTTTCTTAGAATATCTACAATTTTTATGTAGAATAAAATTGTCGCGTTAATCACAAGGGAACAGAAACAGTAAGCTGCATTTGTTACATAAAAATTGTACCTGTTTACGCACATACTTAGATGCGTAAGTCGGATATTAAGAAGTTAAGAGAAACACAATACCTTTAAACAAATGACGGCGTAATAATGGGGAGTTTTTGCAATATCGTTTATCCCAGATACGGTGAACGCTAAAGTCACATTATCTTTTTCTTCACACCTAATTAAGAAAAAGATAACGTGACTTAGCGTTCACCGTATCTGGGATAAACGGTATTGCAAAAACTCCCTAATAATAAATAATATACTTTACTTTCTTTTTTTTCTTTGAAAACGATATATTATATTACTAGTCTGTTAATCAATTGTTTATTTTTTCTATTACTGTTTTTGTACGTTAATTAGTTACTTAACTGACATATTATTTAATATATTACTTTATCATTAGATATATTTCGAAAGACAGTATTTCTTTGCGTATCATCACGAGTATTATTGCTTCTATTTGTAAATTTATGCTTGCAACGTTTAAAATGAATTTTGTTGCCGATCTATTATATACTCTACAAAGTTGCTATATATTATATATGTATGAATAGTCTAGATTAGCGTGTGTTAATGTAATAAGCATTTTGCTATCGCATATATTTTTCACTGCCATCCACTGCCGTGATGTCGATGGCAATAAGATATCTAAATCTATAAATGCAGTGATAATATCTAATAAATGTTATGATTAATTAAAAAAAAGTTAACTTAAAATTCCCTTTTATACAATAAATGCACAATATAACGTTCGTGCAATTAGCAAAATCATTCAACGATATACCAACAATCGATGATATGATGAAAACGATATACACACATTTTCGTATATTACGTATATTTTTAAATAAACGCAATGTTTAACGCGATTGATTGTTGAGCTAACTTGAGGATGTATTACACGCATTTTAAAATAACGAAAATATGAAGAAATTACAGATTATTTTAAATCGCAATTAAAAATAAAAATTTGGTGTCAGTTTAGGATCTGCATAAAAAATTACTTCAATAAGTAGTAATTTTTATCTTTGATCTATAATAGAGAAACGTATGGAAATACATTATAAAATAAAAATTTCAATTTTTTAAATATAATTTTATATGTTCTGTAAATAAACAATTTGTTTATTTGCAAAACAAATAAATCTCTGCATCATAATGAAACTGCATAAATAATTTTGCTTAAAGATTTGTGCCAAAAATTAAAATTTTGGTTATTTTTTTAACTTTAGTATTACAATAAAAAATTAAACTGAAAAAAATAAGTTATTCTATATAAATAGAGTATTACAAACACAACTTTCATATGTAAATTTATTTAAAATATCGGGTAACATATTTATAAAAATGAGTAATGCATCCTTAAAAGGGATACGATAGCAAATGTATTAGAACATTTACTTGTAGTGTTATTAGTCTTGTAGTTTTGAGAATCATACAGAATTATATTTCCATTTAATAGTAATCAAATCGTGTAATCATTTATACATATACGTTTATATACGTATTTTTCATACAATTGTGCAATTATACCGTAGATAAATATAGTACCTGGATGCTATATTTCATATATCGCTTGCGAGCATAAAATATTATCCGTAAAACACAATAAGGATAAAACTGAAACACTGATACACCAATATGTGATGTAGCATTCCCTAGTCTTTCTTTACTAGTTTATTTTTTCATCGTTATTAGCTGTAATTACCTATAAATATTTTATTAAAACCTTTTAGATATACAACTTCTTTAAGAGCATGAAGTGTGTGTTGCATTAAAGAGTGCATTTTATAGGCAGCAAAGTATATATTGCGAGGTAGTTTGTAGCTATATTTTCGATATTTATATTGCAAGCAATTTCTATGATATTTGTAAGATCATTCATTTTCGACAGACGTATTGTAACAAATTTATAAATTTCATTAGAAATTATAAATTTACTTCTGATACAGTATTATGACACAATATGTCTGTATCGTGATTTATATATATAATATTTATACATGTCAATTAAATATATTACATCGAGATCTCCAATCACATAATACCGTACGTTAAACAGAAAAGTACCAAAGAGCGTCATTATCTCGTAGATTACAGTTCAATTTATTATCAGCGTGTCTCTTTAAAAGATTTATTTACCAGGAAGATTGTATGACATATGGCAGGGATCTCATAATAAAAATAAAAGAAAAAACTTAGAAACTTGTGTATATAAAACGTTATTATTACATAAAATGTTTTATTCGTTTTAAAATTTACGAACAGTAATTTAATTCTATATTATGTCAGTACACAGCAAAGTAAAAAGTTCAATATATATATATATATATATATATATATAGGGAATATAAAAAAATTTTATATATATATCTTAATTATACAATACTCTTTTAAAATTGTTATCAAATAATCGAATGGACGGACATATTTCATTTCAGTTTTCTTATTTTGTTAAAAATAACCTATTATACATATATATAATTAAATATATAAAATATACCAAAATATTAAATATATAATAAAATTCACACTTATATGCTATTGCTTTTAAAATAATTAAACATTGACCTCTAATTACGTAAAATCGATTATTATGTGTGTGTTTTCTGATATTGAAATTCTCATAAGATAAGAAATATTTCAAATTTTTATAAATACCACATCCTGTAATATTTGAGATGTCATTGGCAGTGAGAAGTTGATCAAAACATTTTGCACAAGCATCTAAATATAAATTGAGGCTTGCGATTTAAAAAGGAGTAGAAAAAAGCGTTAGAGATTTATCGACAATAATGAAATAATAAATTTGTCAGAGATTCTTAACTAATCGTCAAGTCACACAGAAGCTCTTCTACCTGTAGAATAGCTTTTTCCAGGCTACTATTAAACTCGCTGGCATGATCCATGTATATATTTTATTTGGTACGAAGGATATCGCTGAATTGCATCCGTCTTCGGAACATGTGAATACACAAGTACGGTAGGTCAGCTTGTCACCAGGTTGTTTGACATAGTCGCAATAATTCCCCATGTGCACAGATGAGCAAAATCGCTTTGTACCAATGCCACCTGTTTCCAAAAGTAAATAACTTAATTATACAATATATTTGTCTTAAGAGTGAAACTACTTGTTTAATTAGAAAAAGTTTGAAAAGCTTCAGAAAAATTTTATTAAATATTAAAAAAGTAATTGTGCTCTGCTATCAGGAAGTTTGTTTATTCAAACATGTATTCTTTTTTGTTAATTTGTATTTGAAAATTAGTTTCGAGAATAAGCAAAGTGAATAAGCAGACTACATGTGTATATACATTTAAATCATTTAAAAAACGTGATATCTATGACATGCAGGAAGTATATTTTTCAAGAAGTTAAGTTTCTCTAACTTAAAAAAGTGATAGGAGGTCACAAGTCATGTAACTTTTTTTCTTATTTTTTAACACAAAGAAAACAAAATGTCAGTACCATTTTCTAAAAAATAAATACTGAATAAAATTTAAGCTATAAAACTATGATTTCTTATTAAAAAATATCTTTTTTATAATAAAAATATAATAAAAATGAATATATAGAAAATATTAAAGAAAAATTGAATATTTAAATTTAATTTAGATGTTAACAATTTTGGTGGAATCGACGTTTCCATTAAAGTAACGTAATATTTAAAGAAATTTAAATAATTTATGAACATTTTATACTCTTATATAAAAATGATACAATAAAACTTTGTTTTTTTAATTCCAAAATGTTTAAATTTAATTCTTTCATATCTATATAACTCTTAAAAATTCTCTTATATTTTACGCAAATTAAATTACTTAAAATCCTTCTCCTCATAAGAATTTGTGCTTAACTTTTGTAAATTAATTTCAAAAGTCGAAAATAGAACACACATAGAAGTATAAAAAAAACGATCATCGAGAAACAATCACTTTCAGAAATAGAAAAAGAGCATTTTTCTCATTCTTTCTGATAACAATATAAATACTAAAAGTATAGTAATAAAATACAATAAAAATACAAAAGTCATATCAAAAATATTCTTTTAAATATTGATAAGAATCAATATTAAAAAAAATATTTCTGATACGACTTTTGCATACCTTTTTATACAGTAATCAGTATATTGTATACAATACAATATATTGTATAACAAATCTCAGAATTTGTTAAACTATATTGAAATAATTAAAGAATTATTCTTTTTCGTTTTAATGAGTGGTCGTTTCCATATCGAAGATTGAAAGAACATTCATGCACACACTCGACAATGTATATTATAGATTCTTGTTACAAAAACCTCCGTAACGGCCGATCGATTTGATGCAATAACGTGCTCCGTACACATGACTACAATTTGCCGGCACCAAGATGTTTTTAACCAATTCGCTATCCATGCATTTCCATTCATTCGCCGATGTACATTGATAGCAATCTAAGGTCATCACTTTTAAAAACACAATGATTAAATTTCTAATTAAAACTATATGGCAATTAATGTTACATAAGTTTTCCAATGTTACATTATAAAATATTAATTATAAAGTAACTTTTATAATTGAATGTAGGTTTTAGAAATAATGATATACTACAATGATATAAATTTTCAAGATTAAGAATTACTATTACTTGGTAGTATATCAAAATATTTTATAGAAAGGCTAATACTCCTTTTAAGCTTTACATACTTTTTTTATTTCTGTAATTATTTCATTTAAAAAAATACCAAAACTAAAAAAAATTGTCATTGTATCAATTTTCTAAAAAAAGCAGAATAATTTATTGCAATTTATCGAATAAGTTATTGTTACATTAGATTCTTATTAACCTTAATCATCAAAAGTAAACTATCTTCATAAAAAATCGTAAAAGAATTACGATAATAAAAAAAAAGATGATTTTTTTTAAATAATTCATATTGGATATTACAACTCAAAAAGGACAGTTTTTACAGGTTGTAAAACGAAAATGACAAAATGATACTTAATTTATATTAAGAATATATTCTTTTTGCCGATATTATTTGATTAGTCAATAACTTTCTGTCGACTTGGACAATACTTTTCTCTTTTTCTAGGAAATTTAGTTTGTTGAGTTAATGAGTTATTTTTAAAACTAGGGAAGCGATATTTAAACAATTGCTTATAATGATTCAATTTACATGCTAAGATCTTAAACATAATAAATATATGTTTCAGTATGTTAAAAAGATATGGAAAGAATTCGGTTCCGTTTAATGTACAGTCACCGACATGCTCGATTAATCTGTGTGTAAAATCTAATTATTAGAAAAGTTAATCAGTGTTCCCCCAGCGTCGCCACTATGTTAGTCTGCCAAGCAAAGGCTGCACAAAATATCTTCGTTGTTTACCCTCGAAACGGCCTATGTGCTTGACACAATATTGTGCTCCATAAACATCGTCACATGACTTAGGCTGAAGATCATTGTCGCTTGTCAGGAATTCATTACACTGAAATGGATACTTCGTACTGGTGCTGTTACATTGGTAACATTGTATGCTATGTCCTGAATAAAAATATCATTTTATCAAATTGTATGGAAGAACGATGAAATTATTCTATTCTACACTGCACTAAAATGTTCACACTTTCATTAAATTTTAAATACCCTAGCTATTGCTAAATATTCCTAAACTAAAGGGAAACATTCCAACAGTATGTCCAGAATACACCAAAATACTGTATGTAAAAGCAACATAGGTTGCAACATAGGTTAAAAATTTCATTTAGTATATTGTTACACACACATATTTAAAAAATGTTCCATATATATCCCGCAAAATTTTAATTTTTCCAAAAATTCCAAATCCGGTCGTTCTTTGTGCCTATTATCTGTGCTTTTCAATTTATGTCTCAGGTTTCAAAAACCATGTTACTTACTGTAGAATACAATTTCCTGATAATGTAAAAAATTAATATAAAAAATTAATATGAACTAATATTGGTTTCTTCTAATATGTCACCTTATTAAATCGTTATAATATGTACTGCACAAATAATTGAAGCCGTACAATTAACTTGACAAATAGTATCTTTAATAACAATAAATCAATGCAGACAAACACATGGACTAATTTGATACATTTAACACAGATGGCAATCATCTGACGGATGACTTATATCATCCATCCTTATTGTTTGTCAATATCGTCAACATCAATTAAATCAGAATGAAAAATGAGTCACTCTGTCATCTGTGTCCTTTATTGAAAAATTCTTTTATTTTTTATGTGTTGTATTTCGATTTTTCAAATGTTCTCGCATTGCACGTCATATGAAATTATAGATCGTTGTCCTGAAATCGGATGTAAATTATACAGATCGTTCGAAGCGAGCCTGGGAGCTCTGCTCTCTCCAAGGAAGAACGCAAGCGTCTTCTACTTTTCCGCGACTTTTCGTAGTGATGATCAAAACAATACAACTAACGGGGACCGAGGAGAGGAGAGGAGAGAAAAATGATATGCCCCACCCAAAGTGCGTCGTCGCGTTAACCTCACCTGTCTTTATCAGCAACGAGAGTATCGTCAGTAACATGCACGCTGCGACGCAGCGACTCGTGACAGCCATTCCGCAGGATTGCGGTCTCCGGATCACCTTCCGTAATCTTGATCGTCGATCTTCGTCCGTTTCCCTGTCAATCACAGAAACTCAAAATGACGTAATGACACGCACCGCTTAACTTCCACAATTCGGAACTCAGAGGATTACTTTACTTGAAGTCGACTCGGAGGGTCCTTTACTTCCACCGATGCGAAATTCAATGCGAACAATCACGTCGTAAACGACTGTACTTAATCTGAGCTGATTTGAGCAAGAAAGTACTCCAAAGTACTCGTGCTCGTGAACCATGAGGTTGGCGCTTCAAACATTAAAGCCTATTCTACAATGACCGTAAGAAGTAAAAATTGACCAATCATAATCGAATATGAGGAGAATAATCGATTACGATTGGTCAATTTTTGTAGCTTACGGTCATATATGCTCACCAAATGTTGCTTTTTTCAAGCATGCGCATTGCGCAACGATAAAGGTAGTTAAATCTTTTTTTGGCGGGGGTAAAATGGAAAGATTAGTCACTAAAGTACATTAATATATCTAATAATATAAGTAGCTAAATAGCGTGAGTTAGCTTAAATATTTACAAACAGATTAAAGTTTTTTAGCTTATCTTTCTTTATATTATTATATCTATTCATTTGGATTATTTAACTTTTATTTGTAATTGATTATGCACTTATACAAATCTCATTAGTTGACTCACACTTAATTTTTAAAAAGTTCTTATGTGTATAATTCCTCATAAATTTTGCTCCTTATAACTGTTTATAACAATTTATGATTTTTCTTAATTAACCATTTTTATAGTATGACAAAGTGTCCGAAAATATCTTTTTTACAATTTTAAATTTCTTAAAATTGTGATTTGTGGAGTAATTTGAAGACCAGATTCGTATTCAGTGACCAAAAAGCTACAGGAAACGAAGCTGCAGGAATTGTCTTGTTCTAAATGTTGCAAGAGTCATTTTTTGTCAAACAATGTAATTGTTCGGGAGTCGCAGAAATTCTCATTTTCTTTTTTTATTCAACTTCAATAGTTTGTTGCGCGATTAAAGCAAATTATAAATTACAAAAGTATATTTTCAGAGTAAAGCACAGGTATGTATATACATATATATATATATATATATATATATTTTATCTTTTATTTTTCCAACGAATTTTCACATAAATAATATAACAGCACTCACTTCATATGTATAATATATATGAATGCAGAGCATTACAAGATTACAGAAAAACGTTACATTTACATTTTCATGTAACACAGAATATTAATCTAATGTATATGTGACGTTTTTATCTCTCTATGTGACTACTTTAAAACTTTTTGTTATTTAATAAATCTAGATAAAAATATAACTCCGTTAAAAGAAAATCTCTCTAACTTATGAAAAATAATCACATTTTTTTGCTAACAATAGAATATTCTCTTTAAAATAACAACATTTTTAATTAAAAACTTATTTTTAAAACAAGCACTAGTTGTAAAGAAACACACATATCAATCAAAAGTCAAAATGGAGTTCTTCTATGCATGTAAATAATAAATATCGATAGATAATCAAAAACTGAACAATATTTTACATATGAATCAGATATATAACATATATGTATATAATAACGCACGTAATATATACAGTTCTGTATGACTACAGTTTTGCTCCTCGATAGTTCATCACTTATTGTTAGTGAAAAATCCAAAACAGTGTATGTATACAACGGTAGAATAAACACAGTATATCACACATCGTATTGTATCAAATAAATACAAATAAGAGATTTAGCATTTTGCATATTGTATATATAAAACACACAACACAATTCTAGAACATCCTATTTGAGTTATCAAGACATTATTTGGAGAACTGTGTTGTGTGGGTTGTCATGTGAATTTTTTTATTCATTTTCATCCATTTTTCCTTGATTAAAACATTAATTTACTACATTTCCTGTATCGAATGGATGACAAAAAGGATTGGTCATAAATTAGATCACACCTTTCCAAAGATATATAGTTTTCCATGCAAGGTCAGGGACTAAACTCTAATGATGGAAAATAAATATCCTCCTTTGTGGCCAAACTTTTTTGTCATTCTGTATAATTTGCAAAATATTTCTTTGAAAAAAGGCACAGGAGATCAATTGTAATGTTGATTTCCTGAGTCTAGTAATTCGTTTTTCGTATATTCTACTGAGCTCATTTAGAATTTTGTTTTATGCTCCCCTACATAACTTTCCTTAACGGCAGTCTTATTTATTTCTTTCAGGCTGGAAGACCCGTTCGATTTTACATGTCTAGCAATCTTGGCTTTGTCGTGCGCTCCTTTAATGCTCTGCCTCTTATCGCAAGTACGTGGTACCTTTGGGGATCCCTTCGCGCTGACTTCTGCGGCGCAGGACGGTTCCCCGACCTCGGGAAGAAGTTTGGATGTTCTCGTAGATGAGATGACTTTCTGTCTTTTTGCGCCGTGTTTCACCATAGCTGTTTCCTCGGAGGAGACGCGCATCTTCGCATTCGAGCTATTAGTCGTCATTAGTTTTTTATTCGCGGAGTTTAAACGCGGTCCGAGAGAGTCATTGATCGTTGACGCGACATTGGATTTGTTCGATCGAAAGCGATCAATCGCTTTCAGGAACGGCTTTGTCTCCACTTCGGATTTAATTGCGCGAATTATCGCGCTGTTCTCTACATTGTTGGCGCAGTGATTCTTCAACGCACGACGCGTGAAAGTCTGCCGAGGTTTCTTACTACTCTTGATCCTCTTCACTGTCGTGTAAAAAGAGGAACTACGACGAAGGATGCACTTTTTCACCAAGTTACCCTCGCTCCTTATAGCATTCCTCGCTCCTGTCATCGCGTCATTCAGTCTTGTTTCCAATTCTTTCAGGATGCCGCTGTTCTGCGCAACGGTACCTTCGTTATCCTGCAAATAAAAAGGCATATAATTTTTTATTGTAGATTTGGGAGATGCGCCTCACATATCATAAAAATAAACACTGATGGTAATAACAAAAACAAACACGTATGTGTGTGTGAGAATGAGAGAGAGAGAGAGAGAGAGATTGATTTTATTCGACTAATTACTAATACAAAAGTAATGACTTACCCCCTTACAACTAAGCACATCGAATAAATGTGGCACGTACCATACACTTTTAAAAAGACGAAGCATATCTAACATATATAAAAATTTGAAAGAAAATTATAAGTAAGCAAAAGTAGCAGATTGCTTAATGCAACTAAAGCCATTTTGCTGATAAGAAGGGATTATCATATTTCTATAAAGTTGATATTTTAGCGAACGAAAATATTCATCGACGTAGTGCGTTCTGCAGTGTTGTGAATTATATTTTTTATGTGTAAAGGATTCATCATCTACATGTTTACGCGGTAAAACTTTGCAGATGGTAAATCTCGATTTTTCAGAATCGATTCTACTACAAGCACACTTTTCATTGCCTAATTTCGTTTGCTTGCAAATACAATGCGTGGTTCATGCTAAATTATCTCGCATTCGTCAGGGATTGATTGGTCAGGACTGTGTGGGATATTAAATAAAAGTAAGATAAATAAATGGTCGCTAAAAAAAACTGTAACGTTTATTAATACAGCTGATGTGTATGCAAGCTTGTGTGCAATACATTATGAAATTTCTACACATATGTGCGTAATACAATACGAGTTCAACTTTGGAGCGATTTGTTCAAGTTAGTTGCCAAAATCAAGATTCATTGTTTTACTTTGTGAATATCTTCATGAACTATTATGATTGCATACATATTATACTCTTTATATATAATAATCTCCAACATCGATAAATTTATATATGTTTATATTATCTATTTATAGATACATTGGAATTTGGAATTATATATGTTGGGAAATAACAGTTATATACATATTCCAAATAATTTAAGAGATAAACTTTTGTAAACTTCTACACATACACATATATATATATATATATATAATTAAATGAATAACATTTTTAAGTTTGAATTAACAAACTGCCATAATCTCACTTCAACAATTCCATTGTCCAGAGATATAACAGTTTAACCACTTATATCTCCACGCCGTGCTCTTTGCTAAAGAAATAGATATAATTATGTACTGTCATCTACATAATATTAACGTTTTGTTCATAATAATTCACCATTTTTCAAAAAGATGCTGCATAAATTAGATTACGTGATCATAAGTGCACTTGCGTACATTGATGAAAAATAGAAGTAAAAATTGATTATCTACAAATATTATCAAATATCAAATAAAACTATAGAAGTTGAAGAAATTTAATATGTATGATTAATGAATACTTCATTGAGTTAGCCACAATATAAAATAAATCGTTAATGCAAGATACTTGCTTTATGTCTTATAGGTCAATGTGAAGCAGGATCGTAAGACTTGTAACTTATTCTCATAAGATTTGTAAAAACTTATAACTGGAATTCGTATAACTTTATAGACTATTTCTTGTAGATTTTTTGAAGATTTATTAAAAATCGTAGACACGATTCATCTTAAGTTCATTCTATAATATAATTACATAAGCGCTTTACAAATTGTACATAATTATAATTGTAAGAATTGATCGATAATAGTCAAATATTCCCCTCACATTCAATTGTGATTGATCAATTTTTACAACTATAATTACACAGTTGTAGAAAGATCTTTATGGTACGCATAGAATTACAACTCCAGTCAAAAATTCTTACAAATTTTACGACAACAAATAATAAGCCTACGACTCTGCTTAAAATTTACCCATTAGTCATATTTTTGTTTTTTTTAATTTATTATTTAATTTTGAAATGGTTATTTAAAAAATTAGTGTGCATGACATATACTATATAAATTAAAAAATGTCATTGATACAATGAATATATAGATGGTTCACACATCATGTGCATAAATTTTATATATATATATGTATAAACATTAAATTTTACATTATCTCGTTCTGTGAAAATAATATATAATTAAGAACATCTTGAAGTATAAATTTATCAAAAGAAGTATATATATATATTATATATATATAAAATATTATTGTCTTGTTTATAAATATATCAAGTCATATATGGAAGACTCATTCAAAATTATGTTAAAAAGATTTATAATATTTCTTATAAATCAGTTCTTATATAACAACATAATAGATACTATAATATCATTATTGTAAAAATATTTCAATTACATGTTTGATAAAAAAGACTAAATTATTTCTATATATAAATATCAAAATTTTAATATAATTAGAAATGTTTACACAAATTTAATTTGTAAACAT